GGAATACGCGTTTCTCCATTCTGGCCAGTAGAGTCAAAGTATGGTTTGCGCAAGTAGAGGGATGTTTGCAATTTAGAATATCACATCTATTATTTTGATTTAACAAATTTTTATTATGTTATTGGCCAACTGGACCACCAATTTACAAAAGAAGTTAAAGAAATTTTTAGACTATACATTAAATATAAATAAATATGACATTTAAATTTGTAAAAATGTCACCATTCAAGGGGTAAAGTAAAATAGCAGATAATAGTTTTTATGGAAATTCGTCATATTTGAAGCTAGAACGATGAAACTTTTTTCATTCACTTTTTTGTCAGTTGGTCAGTTTAATAAATACCTTACAAATATTACGATAGTGAAAGTAACTCTGTCTGTCTGTCTCACTTAAATGCCAAAATTACTGTACTGATTTAAATGAAGTTTAAAATCTAGATCCTGAGAAAGGACATAGGTTACTTTTTAATCCGAAAAAGGGTTATAAGAGATTGAAAGAGGAGGTTATATAGAAGTATCGTCGTTTTTAAAGGTTGAAGCTTGAATCTTATTTTTTGCGTATTGATTAAATATAATTAACGAAAATGGGTTGTAAGGGTCAAAAGGTGAAATATGGTATGCAAGTATTGACATTTTTAAAGCTAGAAGCTTGAAACTTATTTTTTAGGCTGTTGAGAAAATATTAGTACCTACCTTCACAGGACTCAGCCATAAGTGAAATTTTCATTTTTGGAGCTAGAACGATGAAACTTTTTTATTGGGTTAGATTATTAATATATAAATTTTATTATTTGGTTAAGGTCACTATTTTACGCGGACGAAGTCGCGGGTACAGCTAGTATTAAATAAATATGATTATAGAATATATAACAGTAATAAAATTATTTTGATTATTACAAATTAGCTGAATATCAAATTAGTATAAACTTTCTTTGCTATTAATTGCATGTTAAATGAATCACAGACATGCAGTTTGTTGTGACAAGTAGGTATTTAGCTATGCATATGCATATGCATGATGATGCATTTTCTGAGAGGTATGTAGCAGAAAATGAAACAGTGTAAAATAATTTTGTAATATCATTTGAATAAAGTACTTTCATTTCCATATTCTGATTTATCACTAACCGACATTTTCAAAGTTATACCATTAATGTTAAGCTATACACATATTATTATAGTACAGTACGTATAGAGATGTAGCTAAATTTAAATTATCGATTATTGTTTATGTTGGATCCGTATTTCCATTATTGTGGAAATTATGGAATTTAATTGTAATAACATGAACATGTATTAATTGTTGTCAAAAATTTTAACAAGCTCCTGTCTATGTATACCCACGCATAGTCTTGAACAGGTGCGGGTTGTAGTTACACTGCTAGAAAATCTAATTATACATATATTGCCAAATCATGTACAGGTTTCCATTTTATACTGATTAAATACGTATACCTATATATATATATGTTAGGTGACAATCACAAGAATAGTAGAATTATATATACTACGATAAGGCAAACTGGTTCCGTTACTTATTGGTAAAATGTATTTGTAAATAAAAGTTACATTTGTAACTTTTATTTGTGAATTTATATTTATAAATTCCGACTTACAAGAAGTCATATGAAATAACATGAAATCGGCTGGCTGTCGCAACCGAAAAAGACTAAGTAGGTCGCTGTAGTTTAGTGATTTGGGATTTTGCCAGATATGAAAACAGGTTCTAACCGCGTACATGTATGTTTATTTGTATGTTTAAATATTGTAAATTTTACGTTGTTTACGTAAAATTTTTATTTTATTTACTTGATTTACTTTCAATTTCATTTCTGGTAGAATTACAATTAATTTTTTACTTTATTATAAAAAACTAAATCAAATTTAATGTTGTTTTATCTTTTCATAAGAGAAGAAATAAAAAATTACTATAATGAATAAACGCTGTACAAAAAAATTACTGATTCATCATAACTTCTCATACTGATGCAAATTAAGTATGACAGTGGTTAATTAGCAGTATGTAGCTCATTGGTAAATTACGAACAAATATTGTAGATTAAATAATATAATGTACATATATGAGTCTGTACATATGAATAAAGAAGCAAAGTGTCTGCAACAACTGGCGTCTATGTCGCACGTTGACTCGCGTCGCGTCATTATTTAGTCGTCTCTTGCTAGTAGCCCGTCATACACATCTGTCGTCCAACTAAATCCTTAATAATAAACTTGTCTACATAATATCGATAGCTTAATACAACAATTTTATGTTAGCTCAACGAAATATATATTCTTAGACATACAAAAAGTATGTAAATGTACGTAAAAACAAATTTTAGTGTTGTAGATTCTGTATTTTTTTTGTTCATATATTATATTACGTGTAATAAATTAAAAACAAAAATGTGATCGTATTTTTTTGATGTTTCAATCTCCAGCGTAAATTCAGCAATATTATCTTTATTTATATTTAATATCAGCTTGGATATTGGGACTGCAACCGAGTTTATTTATTATTATTACCAATAAAATTTGAAATCGTACCATCCTCACGCCAGGTTTTTTTGAGACTGATAGAATGAACCATAATTTGAATCAAACCTTTTAGGTAACCATTTCGATACCAATTTGATGAGATTCCAAGTTATATACTCTTTTATACACTACACGATATCAATGCAATTTTAGAATGGATTTTGATGAAAATGATTAAATTATCAAGTATGATCGCAGATTATTTCCATATAAGTAACTATTAATTAATTTTGCGAAAACTGAACACAAATATATATTTATTTATTAAACAAGTGCGTTTAACATATGTAAGTTGAAAATTAGATCTAAAAATAATTCGCGAGCGAGCATGAATTGCGAAATACCAGCCCACCTTAATATCAAAGTATGCACGAGCCGTCAGAAGCAGAGTCAGAAAAACGGGGATACAAATTAATTGGAATAGTGAGTCGACGTCAGGTTCATCCTTTAGCTGCAGGATTGATTAGACGATTGCCGGGTAATTAATTGGATACATCCGGCGAATTCAATTCCTCTTTTTTGTCTCTTCGCTGTGATTAACTGGATCCTGTTTTTCTCTCCGTAATTGAATATTTCCCACTTTTCCTTTTAATAGTTCATCAGATTGCTTTCTTTTGTACACAAGACATTATATTAACATGTGTATCATAATCTATACAAACTTTATTGTTTATTAAGTTATAATAAGAACGACGTGAAAATTTTTAAGGAAGAATTGATAGATGTTTATTACTTTTTCATGCAAAAATCAATTTATTTAATCGAATGCAAAGTCGTAGATCGGTAGGTACATAGGAATTTCCCAAATTCACAAGGAAGTAAAAAATATATAGATCTTCTTATTTAATAAATTAGAAGAAGAAAATAATATAAAAGTTTACATGAAATACAGATATGGGCAAAACTGTGTGTCCATATATATTTATCTTCTCTATGTAGGTAAGCAAAAATGTTGAAAGGTGTAGCAAACGATCAAGTGTGAGGCAATGGCGGGAGATACGACGGGCGTTCCTTCGATCAACGAGAATTTGAAACTTTGATGGCACACCTCTTTCGGTAGATTCAACCCACTTTAGTTTATGGAGGTTCCATTTTATTACTTCAGTTTCCTACGTCTTGCATTTCGGATATCTAGGCATTACGAGAGCCGACAAAGCGCGAAAATTTAGAAGTGTTGAAAGCGATGTCTTTTTGATATTAGGACCATTTTTCTGTAAGTGTAGGTGATACATATATGAAATTATTATGAATCTAAAGCTAAGTTAAGTAAACTGTGTTTTATAAAATTTCCAAACGCGCGATTTGTTATGTTCGATATTAAGACTTTAAATAACGTACAGATAAGACTAGAATTATGTATTTTTTTAAATCGGACTTTAATTTTATAACTTTGTCAATATTTTAATGATAGATGTCGATTTACATTATCAGGATATTAATTATCAAATACTATAAATATTAGTGGCAAAAATAATACAGTTATAAAGTTCAGCATACTTTTATTTTCTTTTATAATTATGTTTATATTATGTTTTGCAATCGAACAGAAAAACAAAGTATAAAAAATATAACTGATTTATAATAATGTCTAGCACATTATTATAAATCAGTTATATTTTTTAATACATATTTCTAGTAATATATTAAATTAAATACTTACTTATAGTGACTTAAGATAACTTAAACTTTTAATTAGAACGTATTCTTACTTTATAATTTCATTAAAGCTAAGAGATGTTTTCTTTTATTTAAATTATGAGCTAGATAGAATAAATTTACTTACTCTATATTCGCAAAAAATAATGCACTTATCTTGTCGCGTAATTTAAAAAACTAGCAACATTATTTCATCCATTACCTGTCTCTATTGAACAAAAGATCCTTTTACATTAGTACTAAAATATACAGTTTACATTTCAATATATAATCCATTCATTCATTCCATCTGAAATTAGTGCATTATTTACCTACATAATATTTTCTAAATAAATACATATGATGTAAGTTAATTAATTAAACGACATTCACTGTAATCATAATATTTAAAATTATTAAAATTAAAATACAATGTGATATATCAAATTATAGATATATAATGTATATCTGTGTATTAATAAATATTTTTCATCAAGATGTTCTTAGAAAGTAATAATACCTTTGAAGATTTTTCTATTGATGATGTTAACATGCGTAGAGTATATTCAACGTATGTATGTTGTTCAATATACTCTACGCATGTTAACGTCATCAATAAGCACTTTATGTTTTGGAGGTTCAACAGTTATAGAAAGTTCTAATAGTATTATCTTAGAATATGTGTACAGTATTTTATAAAAACACAAGTCTTGCTAATGTTACGACTGTTACAATATTGGTACGTAATAATAAAAATTGTGTACATAGTATGTAGAAGGAATATGTGATATAAAAATGGCTTTCATTTTACTTTGTGAACTACCTTTTTAAGATTCATTCAAATCATTTATTAAAATCCTGTGAGCACCAAAAGCCATTTCCTTTACTTTGACTCGATGCATTTTCCCGGAAGCCGTTACTGGTATCCCAGGCGCGTAAAAGAAACCACCGTGTAGCTGCCGAGTATCCGGTAGTTCTTCTAAAAGACGTAATAAGTATATATTAGGTACTAGAAGAGAGAATTAAATTAAAACTATAGCATACCTTAAATTAAATTGTCTACGGTTAACCTATTGAAAGTTATAACTGTATAATGTTATATATTTAATTGATGTAAGTAATCATTATTTACAGACTACGACATATGTGTAGATAGGTATTACTTTAGTCATTAATATTATCTTTTATGGTACAAAGATATGTTTAAATTAAAAATATATTCTAGTGTTCGTTACTGTAATTAAGTACCTTTTATTAAATTGAAGATCTCTTGTGGATTTATCTGCTGACCGTTTTTCTTTACAATAGCAGCTACTGGCACCTCAGTTAGGAATTCATCTGGTATGCCCACAACGCATACCTCGGCGACAGCTGGATGTTTCTTGATAATATTCTCTAATTGCAACGGCGATATCTAACAAAAAATAAACATATGTAGATAATTAATATGGTGTTAAATTCATGAGAAACTATAAAAATATTTCAAGTAAAGAAGAGACAATAATCGTAACGTTAATCGTTGTCGTTCGTTTTAGGAATCCATTTTCGAAAATTTTTCATTTATTTCTAAATTGTTCGAGTGTGGACATCGTAGGACCGGGTAATATCCCGGTCCTACGATGTCCACACTTGAACTAAAGGATAGGAACATAAATCTGATGGTAAATATATATATATATATATATATATATATAAGAGAGAAATTGGTTATTGTAAGGATTAATCATGTCCAACACTGTTATCATGGAATGTACATAATGTAAATTAAACATTTGTTTAGTGAGTAACATGAAGGTTCTCAATTCAATCGTACATTTATGTGTATGTTATACGATCTTTTCTATAAAATGGATCAGATTTAATGATCCATTTTTCGATTGTTAGCGAACGTATTATGGTACCTATTATATAATTTTTGTCTGGTTTGGTAATCATTGGTGTCATGGTTTGTTTATTATTTTTCTACAGAACAGAATATATTTTTTTGATTAATCACCATTTCTTTTATATACATACATGTAGTATTGTGATTATCAGAGAAAATTGATTTATTTGAAAACAGAAATTATCGATAATACAATAAAAATGGTAAGACAAATTGCAAGGTCTACTTCTTTAGACGTTTTCTTAAAATTAAGACTGAAAGCATGAGGTAATATATCAGCATGACTTTCTTATAATCTGATCTAATTAGGAGAGTGTTACTCTATAATTTTATAAATAGACTTATAGATACTTTACAATCGAATCCTACTGAATCCTCACTCTGCCAATATCTGGTTTTAATTGTCTGGGTAGTTTTCAATCAATACGGAGCTTGTCTATCTTGTAGACCTCTATTTTATTGGCCGTTTAATTAAAAATGTTACGAGAATGAACAAAGAATGTTCAGTTCTTTATTTGAGCTTTTGTCGTCAAATAGGCCATTATAGTTATTTTGGCTGACTTTGTGTTACACTTTTACTCGATATGATATATTATGATAAAGTTCAGAGCTTAAAGAAGCTTTAGAGCTTTGTGTTTATATTATACGATATTAACAATAACTTTGTGACTTTAATGTATACGTAAATATTTAATTTACTCTGTCGAGGTATTATATAGGTACCTATGGATAACTCTCAACTCAAATTTAGTAGCAATAACAACACTATACAAAGAGATCCAATTTAAACTTTACAGAATTATATTATCACTAAGAAACAACCAAGATATGGGATGGAATGTAATTATCAATATTAGTATCTACCGTTATGAACATTTTGAATAGACGGAAATATGTGTAATGAATTAATTTAAAATTGTAATTTCTATAACAATAATAATAACTTTGGACAATTCGGCCAGCGCCATGCAGTACCAAGGTAAGTAGAGCATTTGTTACAGATACTAGATAAGTAATAAAAATACTAAATATATATTTTTTTTTTGCAAATAGGCTCATGACATATGTACAAAATGTCCAGACCGATAAAACAGCCATATTCATGAATTCAATTGTTTGACATTGTGCGAGGAAACGAACCCATGACTATACAAATAAAGCGGTGTAAAACCTCATTATTGACTTAACCATCTTAAAATTAGCCATAGACGGAATATATTCTCTTCTCTGTGTGCGTAGTATTTGGAATAAAAATCTATAGGCGACACATTTATCTACTCGGTTACACAATTTACCAGTCACTCGGAAAAAAATTGGAAGTAAAATATTTTTTTTTGTACAAATATAAGTATAATTTTGTATCATATATGTAGGTACAACATAAAATATAGTTCATCATCATCTGATTCCTCGTTATCCTATTAATTTTAAATCGGCGTAATATGTTTTTTCCTTTATTCATTCCTGTTCGCAGTTATCTAGTTATTTCTTGCCATATCATCTTTTACACAGTTCATACATTTCTTTTTCGGCCAACTTCTGCCTTAGTAACCATTATTGCCTAAGTGCAGTTCACTTTCATTAAAATATTTTCTTTAGTTCCTAATTATAGTGTACATAGTATAATAGTCTTATTGAAATAAAATAATTCGATTCATATTGTAAGTAATTTCTTTGTATGTTTTCCCGACAAAGTAGGTACTAAAGGGCAATTAATAATATAATATAATCAATAACTATTATTTATAAAAAAAATCATACAATATTATAAAGTACCTAAAGCTCTGACTCCTACCTGTGACAGTGTTCATATGACTAGTTTGATTTTATCTTATGCTATAAAATTTGTTTATGTCCTTCTCGATCTCAAATACCATACGGATTGTTTTGTCGATCTGTTAAAATGAAAGAGTTAACAAAAAACCAAGCTTTTCCTTTTAAGTATGTAGGTAATATATGGGTGGATATTAAGATTTGAGTATTTTATAATAAATGTCAATTTATTCTACTATATTATATGCGACATTGCTTCAGTTGTATCTATCGGAGCGTAAACAGAATTCTCGTAAGTCTAGATTGCTTCACGCCCGATGATTTTGCATCTCACTTGGTATCTTATTTACTTTGAGTAGGTAGCGTATGTATTTATGCGAATATTTATAATATTAATCATAATAGAATCAGAAAATGAACAATTGAATATAATGAGATCAAATGAAAGAATATACTTTCCTATACATAATTACCACATAAAAGTCTGCATGTCTGTATGTTACAGTTTGAAGGTTGTACAGTTAAACCATTTTTTTATAAATTTGTGTATAATATCATGGGACCAAATTGAAGAAGAACGTAGAACACGTTTTATTGCACAAGTAAAACTTGAAGGGTCTGGGGGAAAATAGGGGATGGAAGTAAGGTACCCATTTTTGCGAGTAATCCTTTGGCAATATGAGTACGTACTATTTCTGTGCGAATATAGTTACGTGTATATACAATAATTTTTAATTCCATATCATATATGATCTAAGTGGTTCAGATGTTTACCACATCGCTTTACTTCCGATGGTCGCAGGTTCGATTCCTCGCACGATGCAATAATTTGTATTAATGGATATGATTGATAGTATTGGTATGGGTATTTTCTATGTATATACATATATAGTGCATGTATGAAAAAATATAAGTATTTGATATCCATGATACTATTTATGTATATTAAGCGATGGTTGCCACTTTCTATCAGGCAGGCCATCAATATTCTACTTATATAAAAAATATATTGAAACTTACAAAATGTCCAGCGCTTTTGATTAGAAGTCGTTTTCTTTCGACGAAGTAGTAATTATTATCGTTGTCTTTGTAGAATATGTCACCAGTTTTTAACCACCCATCTTCTGTTAACATTTTTCTAGTTTCTTCAAGATTGTTTAAATATCCCTGAAAAGTAATAATTTTTAATATTGTAAATTCTTTTGTTTTACTATTAATAGTAGCTTTTCTCTAAAAAGTGGACGAATTATTGTGCCCCGAAACAAAAGTAAAAGAATATTTCTTTAGTTTTGGGTGCAAGAAATAATTGTATAGGTAACTAAAATAATACACTTATAATGTGTACATATTCAAATTTCCATTATAATGTATACGTATACGAAAATGTCAAAAATTTGTAATACTAGCAATAAACTGTACCTAATATGTCTTACCTTAAAGAAAGAATTTCCTTTTATCCAAAGTTCACCACTTTTGAAAGGTTTTTCTATATTAAAACCATTATCATCCACTAGCTGAAATAAGTATATAATATATATAAATAAGTAGTTTAAAGAACATGTCTTTTACCTAATAAATATTTATCTATTTAGCGTGATATAAGATTAAATATTGTTAATTATACATATTTGCAAAGTAAATAAATGTTATAACATATTGAATTTTACTGGTAAACAAATGCTGACAGTCATAGAAAAATGTAATGCAGTCCAGATAACGAATTAAATCTCATTGCTTTGAATTCTAAGTACATTTCACTAATATTTTAGTAAATTAGTTAGAGATATAAATCAATAACATACCCTATACTCATTGTATTCGAAAGGTTTTCCAACTGATCCCAATGGGGTTGATCGCGTATAATTAAAACCCGGCACAAGAAGTTCTGTCATTCCGTAGACTAAATACAGAAATGCATTAGTTCTGGACTAAAAAGAGAAAAATATAAAATATGTATATTAGATATAGAATACAATAATAATATGAACACTTATAAAAAACTACTGGTACTATAAAATGTTTACTAACTTTCATTAAATCTAATAGAGGTTTTTCAACAGTACTGCCGGATATAAGGATGTATTTGAAGCAGGTCAGATCGCAAATTTTCTCGGTGCCATGTAAAAATTGTCCCAACAAGTAAGGCGTCCAAGCAGTCACATGAGGCTGTAAATGTATAAAATTTTATAATAATTCTACTATGAAATGTTGTATTTCTTTTTTTTCCAAAAGGTGTCCTTATACTTTAAGAAATAAATATTATTAAATAGAGTTACAAATAATGAACTTAGTGAAACAACGTCATTTTACAGAATGATCGGATTATTACATCGTATAGTATATAATTATAAAATATCCCCCGCCGCGTTAGGCTATATGTCCACGCTAATCTCTAAAATTACCAAATGGATTTTAATGGTTTCCATAGATTTCTGACGAAGAAAATGACTGCATCAGACATCATTTTGTTGCTGTATAATTTGATAAGGTTTTATATAAATTAATAGAAATATCTGTGCAATGACCGGCATGAAGTATAATGATTTAGTTATTTACTTGTATGAAGTTCTACTTATCAATAACAAAACAAGTATAAAAATAAACGAGGAAAAGATAATGAATTTATCTAATAAACTGTATCTAATTCAAAATTAGGTAACAATCTAAAGAATTTAGACCACGAAGAATTTCATAATGTATTTTCTCTTTATATTCTCTCTTTTAATTTTTCATATAAGCACTTAGGTTAAGTTACACGTAGCACAGTGTACAGATAGTGTTCAGTAAGGTATGTTCTTGTTAATAAATTACTGCTACACTATTATTAACCTAGTAATTATCTAGCGTACATATTTTGTATTCTGTAATTTGTGTGAATCTAATATAATTAGATTAAGACATAAACTAACTTTAACTAACTTAAATTTTAAAACATAATTATAATTTATATTTTAATGATCTATAAATCTTTTACCTTGTATTTGTTTATTGTGACGATGAGAAGTTGTGGTGTTAGAGGAACAGACATCTGAAGTCTTGTATATAATCTTAGGGGCCCAGAAATGAATAATACGAGTGAAGATAACCATTGGAATGTTGACATTGTCAGAGTTAGTTCTAAAGGATCTGTGAATGGTGTCCTGAAAAAAGACAATTATTTTGAAATAGCAGCGTATATATATATATATATTTATATATTCTACTATATATATAAAGTTATACATTTTTTACGGATACATCCAGAAAGTTTGAAAGAACTTTAGAAAAACAATAACCACGCCGCTGTGCCGAGTCATATTGCCACAATAGCAATAATAGTACTATTGAATATTATATAGATGTTAATATTGTTATTATTTTTAATATTATATAATATTGTTCTTTGTGTTGAAGCATTGTCTCCGTTATATCGTCAATCTTAGACTATACCGGTGCTTACTACATCAGAACACTGATACATAATACAATAAAATAATTATTACGAGTTTATACTGACCACCAGCATCGTATTCCGTTTAGTACAGTATCGTATGGTATAATTGCTACTTTTGGAAGTCCCGTCGTCCCACTTGTCAACATTAACCATGCTGCTATTTTAGACTGGTTGAATTCGTTAGGCCTAAGAAATAAATAATATGGTTATTGTTATATACTTGTTATTAAGTGGAATATATAACAATACTACTAATTATATTAGAGATTCACTCTCATGATATTTCAGTCTTTTGTTATCTTGTAGCACGTTAGATGATAATAATATGATGCCCGTAATAAAGTCTTGGTCGATCGCTGTCAGTACCAAGGCTTAAAAGGTCATTGTTTATATGTACATTAAGGGCTTTCTTTTCAATAATAATGACTGAAAAAACACAACGCATAATTTAAAAAAAAAAACTTTTATAAGTGCGTATTTAAACGCCTAGTAAATGACTCCAAGCAAAGGAGTAAACACAGGTAGCCATTTTCAGTTACGGGTATATCAACATACTCACCGGAAGCCAATTTCAGTGCCGTTGTATGCCTTTATAAAATTTTCCAAGTTATCGCTCTCGTCGTCGAAAATTACAATTTTCCCCTCCTGATTGTTTCTTATGAACGCTTCTTTAACGTGTTTCACGTTATTTGTTTGACAGAACACCATTTTTGGATTAATGTACGGGAAAAGTTCCTTAAGATCGGCTAAAATGTAGTAAACACAAATTAATCGAGAGGACGGTCATTAGACGGCAGAGGACTTGCAATCTCCATCGGGACCCTAAAATAAACTTTTAGCAGTAATCAGTACAGCTCAAAAAAAATAAAAGTTTGGCTTTTTGTCGTCTTTTTGCTGACAAAAGCGTATTAAGCGCTGAATTAGAATAAAGTCCCTGAAATTACTGACGTAGACAGACTAAGCTTGTAATAAATGTTATCTTTTATTTCTCAACTATTTTCAGTCTATGAAGGATACTTAAGAATGAGCTAGCGCGTAATATCATTGAAATAATGGTATATATTTCAATGATATTACGCGCATCTCTTATTATAAATTTAATAAAAATATAGCAATGATTGACAAATCCATAAATTAGTATATCGTTCAATATAATTTATGATATATACCTATTGATAAGTAATAAATGTTATTGTTATTTTAATATTTAAAAATTAATATTTGTGACACAAATAATAAACTAAGTATTTATTTTATACAATTAATTCATACGATACAATTATGTTATACTTTAATTATGATATTTTGATGATCATAATGTAACATTATGTGCTTCTTAAAGTTAATACGATAATCAATATAGGTTAGTTACCAGCTAATAAGTTTAGGAATCATAATTAAAATCATCTACAACTACAACTAAATAAGGGTTGGGATATTTTACACAACGCCCTCGGTGGTCTAGTGGTTCAGCTCGTCGCGTTACTTCCGATGGTCGTGGGTATTTTTTATTGGACTGGGTATTTTCTATATACATATATTATTAGTCATCCATGCTATAAATCACTGATACACTTCATTATTATAATAGGTACTTAGAAATCGAAATTAAAATCAGCCATGTTGTTGTTATCAAAGCGTGATTGCAAAAATAAATCAAAACAATATGTAATCTGTGAATATAGGCAGGTGAGCGCCTTATAGAGAGACAAAGAAATATGTATTTTTATCGATATGACCTGAACTGTTAGTAAAACTATAATTGGCAATTATACTTTTGAACACGTCAAACAAAGGGCCTTTTTCTATATGTCAGGAAAGTGTTGTTATTTTTTATACGTTTTGTTGCATGTAGATGTGGGGAAAAAATATCTAAATAATAATAGGAATATTACAGAATACAGTTATAAAATAAAATAATTGGATTATAATTTTTAATTACTAAATAATATTTCTTCTTAATAATTTGGGTCAAAGCATTTTACCAAATTAAACAGTATGATTAAGTAATGAGTGCATTTCGGTAAGTTGAGTTAGCATGATTGTATGTAATATTATCTCTTGACTATTTTCTTGCTTTAAGACTGATGAGGAAGAACATTACACAATAATAGTTACAGTGATTCCTCAACTGAACTAAAATAATATGTTCTAGGTATGATAACTGCAATAAATTTATAAACTGCTACAATATTAGAGTCTTTATGGGTAAAAGTAAGAATACATTTACAATACCAACTCGTACTGCTTGCATACATAGACTACGGTGGTCACTTGTTTCGGCACTGATGCGAAATATATTATATATGGTTATTTTGCTAATTGTAAAAAAAAAACAGTTTATTTAGTTTACTCCTTTTTCTAGTATAGTATACTTTCGATACTTTTTATGACTTACTCTACATTATTTCTGTAGGTATTCTTATACTAATTAATCGTACTCAGTGACAGCGAGTAGATACTCGATTAAATTAGGTAATTCGGAGCGATTAATTGGGCTTAGACTTATTTATTATTTGTGATAAATAGTTCCAGTTGAGTAGTAAGAGAGTAACTGTACATACATTTACGTTATCTAGTCTGGTGGGGAATGGCGGTGGTGGGTAAAATAGGTGCTATACAAACAAATCATACAGTAAATTTTTGGTGGTTTAGACATTGTAAAGCCATTTGCTATAATAATTAATTTGCTACAATAGTTACTTTTTTTTATTAAAAACTATATTTAATAAATCTATTATAAAGTAATGTATACACAAATAAAGAAATGGCATTACAAAGATGTTTATTTTTTTTCTTCTTAAAGTTTTCATTTTTTATATACGTGGTACAAAATACGCGTAGTTGGAGGTAAGTCGATTTGTATGCAGTAATGTAGGTGCTTTTAAAGAAAAGTAAAATGAAACTAAGAGAGAAAGAGAATTAGAGGAAATTAAAAATGTATGGACAATACATTGATATCACCGAGTTCTTACTACTACCTAAGATATGTGTTCACATAACGTAAGTAGGTACTTAATTAAAAGCAACAACAACAACTGTGACTAACTACCGCACAGCAACTGTTACAATAAAAGTTGCTATTCATATGATATTCATCTATTACAACTGCCTACTAATTCAATCTTTATCTTTCCATACAATAAAGACTGAATGGGTGAACACTGTTTAGTCTGTTTATTTGTGAATGTGTTAAAGTTTCACATAGAAAATTTGGAAGAATTTTGAAAATTTGATCAACCTACAGCGTAAATTAAACTGACAAAAATACCCCTAATTTTATGGTAATCTCAATACCCTACCTACTATTTTATTAAATTTATTAATAAAATAATTAATGTATTATAGATACGTTATTTATTTTTGTCATTAGAGTATCAACAGTAGACGAGGATTGTAAATGCCTACGCATACGAAGTCGGGGGCACTACTAATATTGAATATTGCTTTTAATTAAGTGTTTATAATAGCGTTGATAACGTACCTACTTGATTTATATATGATAGTTGATAATAAGCACGTCATATGATTAAATGTATTGGATATTAATCAAAACACGATTAAACATATCAATCATAACTATCATAAAAATTGTAATGGAATTATAATTTATAATCTTTCCGGTGTATCCCTCATCACCGCTATTAGGGGTCTTTGTAAACTGATTAATTTGGTAATCATTGTCTCTATCATAAAAATATATTTCGTAATAAAATTGTATCCGGTTATTATATTCTTAAACGAAAAAATAACAAGAAAATATTATCGAATCGAAATTTGTAATTTATTTGTTAATTTGTTTTGATCTTCTTTTGTCTGTAAATCGTACTAGTACAATTAATATTAGATGGTTAAAGAAAATTTGGGAGAGTGTGGCGATTTTATTTACATCGCCCAGCTATATATACCATTGCGTAGTAACAATTTGTATTGATGATAAGTATCCAGTGGAACATGAATTACTTATCTGCACACGTTGTAATATTAATTTTTCTTTTATTATTATGTACAAACCTTACCTCATCACCTCCAAATATGCTTGTTTGCCGTCATCGTGTTGTAAAAGGAACAAAATTACATACTTATAGATATAGAACCAAGAAAGAGCTAAAAAACTTTAAGAGTTGGTAAATAAACAATAAAATTAAATAGCAGACTAAGACTATAGTAGACTAAGGTGAGGCATTGTATGTAAATACAATACCACTGAGTTATCAATACTCAAGTAAACTGTTATGAATGGGTTATTCTTACCTAATGTAATATTTGGATCCATTCCGCACATTGAGAATCCATGAAAGTGACATGCATAGTATGGAACAGCTATATCCAAGTGGTTGGGGCCCATTACGACTACCGCATCGCCGGGTTGTAATCCATAATTACTCATTGCACTAGCTAGCCGCATGCTTCGAGTTGCAACTGACAGGTTCGTTTCACTGGTACCGGTTGCTGCATCGATCTGTTGCATACCAAATAATTCTTGGTTACCTAATATTTTTATATACGTGAAACTTGTATTTGATATTTTATTTCTACCGATATAGACTGTAATCCAGACTTGGGTGGGTTCTTCAATCTTACCTATATCAGTCGACAAGTAGTCTGTGTGTTGCGGTTGTAGGGTGAGAAAATGCAGTCATATTCAGCAATACGGAATGTCAAAGTATGAGCGCTGTTACTGGCGTCAATTGTTAGCGTGATGTTAAGGACATCACGTTATCATGTGATGCCCGTAATGCTATTCCTGTATATAGGTGATGGTTACCACTTACTATCAGTTTTCAATTAACTAAAGAAATACGAGTATATTCAATCAATATAAATAATCTCTAACTAGAGATAAACTAGAACTTCGTATCACCTATAAAGTAAGATTCAAAACGAACTTTATCTATAACAAGTAATCCAAAGTACGGATTTCTATACAAAATTACAAAATGTTTATCTTTAATTCTCTTAGCTTTACTAATCATCCGAAATTATTGAATAAAAACAACATTTAATTTAATAATTAATTTTGGGATGAATCTTCAGCAATTATTTTCTATATAGGAGTATGACTTATAAATATATGTGTCCCAGGTTTTATGTCAAACGTTATACATATTCCATTATGAAACGTTTACAGGAACTATTTATATGTAGTAATGTGTGGTGTTAGCGTTTAAAATACGAGTTCAAACTTCAAACTCAGCTTACAGTCATCAAAATAATAACTTTAAGACTACAATTTGAATTTGAAATGTTCCCTTTGTTAATAATACTAGTATATACTATAGAATATATAAGTTGTTATCTAAATTAATGAATTAAATACATGTAATAAAATAAAGCATTTTAAAAATGTTCTAATCTAATTCACTTTTTTTACTACTCCAATAATCTAAATTATTTTGCTGTTTTATTTTATATCAGGTGTAACAAAAAAGCTAGTAATATTAATTTAATTGTTACTGCCATGTTATTATCTACTATTGTCAATATCTACTTTACTGTATTTATTTATTATACAAAACTACATTTTTATAAATGTCGTCGTTATGTACAACATACCTATAAAGTAAACTACAAAGATGTAAATATATTATATTTTAATCAAACAAATCAACAAAACAATGTCTTTTGATTGATTTTGACCACATTGGTGGTCTAGCGATCTAGCACACCGCTTTACGTCTGACGGTCGCGGGTTCGATTCCTCGCACGGCACAAACATTTGTATTTGTAAATGTATTGTATTACTTCTAGTATTTGCAAAACTGTAATGAATGAATTAATGTCAATAAGATATTATTGCTTCCAATATTCTTATTTTCTGATTTGAGGATAATATATTACTGAAGGTAAACTTTGTCATTCAAATTGTTGCTCTAAATTTAAAAATGTCTCAATAAAGAAAAATGTACACTGATATTTTATGGGCCTCCATAATCCATGTTGTTCTATATAAGTACTTAGAGACGAGAAAAAAGACCTACAAGTACTTAAATGTCAACATACATTTAAATACTTGCAGGTCTTTATACTTGTAATTATATATCGTGTATAATTCCTTCTCCATGTGTACGTTTCTTATATGTAAAAAAAGGCTATAGGCTGGAGCTGTATAGGCTTATGACGATTACCCCTGAATTTTATCAATTTTATAGTATTATACTATAGACGATAAAGGAATAATAGCTCATCTTGTATCAAGCAGAATAGTTTAAAAACGCTATTTGAGTAATGTAATCTATTTCGACTGTACACACGAACAAAACGGCGAGCGCAGTTGGTTTCTAAACATGTACCTACTTTATACATACTTGCTTACAATTAATTATAATATTGTATTGAGCAATTAAACTATTTACAAATGTATATACAGATGAGACAGCTTAAAAATATTGTGTGTATAATGTATTGACTACTAAGCACATAGTAACTGATGACAAAGACGAGAAATGTGCACTTTGGAATTCATTTGAAAATATTTAATTAAGCAATTAATGTAATATTACTTCATTTCATATGCTAATTAAACATCTGTTAATTGAAGATAAATATATAATGAGAGCAGAGATTCATATTAGAGTATAATTCAAGTAAATTCATTTTCGACAAAATAAACATTAGTCTGCTCTATTTTACATTACCTAGTTACCTGGCATTTTCATTTACAACCTATCTTTAAAAGAAATAAATTAAAAAATGATAACTGTTTCCATGTATGGGTACTGTATTTAATATCGTTTGCAAGCTTTAAGTAAATTCTAACTGTTGTCTAATAACCGATTGGGTCTTCTTTTATATTAATTGGAAATTGTTCATGATTTGTTTTTTTATTGTTAACTAGCTACTCGCCCCGGCTTCACCCGGGTGTATTATGTATTATACATATAAACTTTGCTCTTGAATCACTCTATCTATTAAAAACCGCTTCAAAATCCGTTGCGTAGTTTTAAAGATTTAAGCATACATAGGGACGGACAGACAGCGATAGCGACTTTGTTTTATACTATGTAATGAGGACTCTATGTACGATGTTGGTATATCATTAAATAAAATAGGTATCATAAATGTAGGTAGTTTTAAGAAAATTCCTTATACAGGTATATACCTAAGGCATTTTGTTGTTTAGGCGTGTTTTGCAAATATGAATTATTTACAGAGAAGATATTGCAAAATAAGATCTAACAAGACGATAGATTTACTTATTATTTGAATTTTGAGTTAAAATTTTGTTATCAACTATTCGTAATTACATCATTCCAAAACAAAGTAATCTATAATTTTAATACAAAGATTAATCTATAAAAGTAGGTCAGATAACTATTTAAGATTTCCTAATAATACACATGCTTTAAATGTTTGTTTTGTAATAGTGACCTTGTAAACATGATTTCTTAATGTCAATTTGAACCAATTTATTGGAAAATATTTGGTAAAATTACTATTATTAATATCCATAGAATTATAATTTCATATAGTTATTTCATATATATGGCGTATAAGAAGATTTTAACGCTTCAACTTTTTATAAAAAAATACTTTTTTTTTAACCTACTACATATCAAATAATATTTTATGAAGAGCGCGAGTTACAGATGCATCTTAGTAATTTTAAAATACATTTTTTTTTAATTCTGAAATCGATTCTTTTCAGACATTAGTGTTAACGTTCTCTAAAAAAGAAATTAAAAAAAATCTATCTGTCGAAATTGAATAATATTGATATTATTTTTTGTAATGTTAATTCTTCTCAACCTGATATTTAGATTTGGGATTTCAAAGAAATTTCTATGGCGATCGACTGATTCAATTTAATTGCGAATTCAGATGTAATAAGAAAAAATATAAAATAATTTTATTAGTATGTTTTACTTTTCAATACTTTTGTTATTTGAATGTACCTTTGACAGTCTCCCTGTGATATATATTAAAAATATTGTATACTTGTCTATTTTATAATAGACAAGTAATTTGTCTATGGTAAAAATAAAAGATATCTATGGAAGAACCAGTAAATGGAGAGTTTTGTAAAACAATTAAAATGGTGTGTTTTTTTTAGAAATATAAAAGGCTATTTGATTTTGAAATTGTATTTTATTCACAAGGTGTCACGGACGGCCCGGACACTATACCCTGCGTCTGTTACTTTGTCATCGTAAATAACTTTAGGCTTTAGTTAATATTCTAAAAACCCTTTAAGACAAGATATTAATACAAACAAAATGTATGTCTACATTTACTATTTTATTAGAATTAACAATTTCTGTTTGTGCCAAATTAAGTATTTAGATAATGCATGTATTTTATAATTGAGATTTACACTTTTCCTACATAAGTTTAGAGTATTGTATATTGTTATTACAATTAAAATTAAAAATTAAATTTAAATTTAAGAGAGATCTCCCATTTCTCTGTTAAGGATTGTTAATAATAAGGACTAGTGATCCAATTTCTAGTGGTTAATTCCAGAATCATTAATCACGATGGGCTAACTGACCTAATTTCAAACTCATCCTATTATCATCCGTATGTATACCTACACACAATAACGCACACAATTTTAATTTCTTCCACACACAAAAAATAGAGGTATCCAAGAGTAGAAGAAGTAGTAGTATTTAGTAGATGTATTTTCAATACCAACCTGATTCAACATGTCAGGCTGCTCCAACATGCCTTGCAATACAAGATGTCCAATGTGACACTTTTCCGGAAAAATGTTGTACTTCTGCGCTGATCTCAACCTTAATTCCTTAATACGTTTACTTATATGAACTTCTTTGACACCCATTATGAAGAGTTAAAGTATATTTGAAATTTAGAGAAACACTGACTGCTAATGTTTGCAATGGAACACTTATAAGTAAATAATAAATAATGGTTTTGCTCTGAACTAATATATAAAGCAAGCTCGACTGTTATCTCAAATTAGTATTCGTAATAGTTTCTAAATTTTCCTTGCTTAATTGATAATATGTATACAGCTATCATCTATATCAGCGTACTTTTTGATATAAGACTACACAGAAGTACATGTCTTCTTGTGCGTAGCTTCTAGTCCACCTGTTGGCATTGTTTTGTAAACAGGTTAGATATCTGTAATAAAAACAAAAGAGATATAAACAAATATAATTACGCAAATAATTTCCGCTTGGACTAATGTACAATTCTATAGCACTATACATATACATATATGGTGGTGGTTAGCGCTGTTTTTAAATATTAGACACCTTTTATTAACTAAACTTTGCATTTCTATTTTTTTTGAGAAATAGTATTGTATTAAAAACCAAAATTATTTCAGTAAAGAAGTTGTGAATCGTGTTTATTAATTAGAGATGATGACCACAAATGCTTATTAGTGTAAATTTGAAGATTGCCATCAGTTAAGTAATAAAATTGTAGCTGACGTATATAACAGTTTACTGTTACCATATTAATTAATCTGTATGTTGACCCATATTTAATATGTTATTCTATGAAAATTTTAAAATTCTTCATTGTTATTTCGGCCTGCGACATGTCTAGTGAAATTTTTAATAAACTTAAAACATTTGATGTACTTAGCTATTTACGTATATCACATAAACTGTTAAACAGACAGACAATTTTCACCTCAATTACGGTCTTATGATTTTATTAAATTTAAACATAAAATGTCTATAAAATAAACATAGTGAAGGAAGTATGCCTTGTTTAATATATAACACATCCGACTAAAACTAGCTTATGTTTAACAGTCGGTAACCAAATTTCGCATTCTGTTTTAGTTTCGAGGTCGAAACCGCAACTTTATTTCTGGTTGTATAAATAATTTTTATGTTTTTGTGCAAATTGTAGGTAGTTGCAAATGTACTTTTTATTACATACAAATATTTGGCTTTCTTTAAAGAGGATAAATAAAATTTGCTCCCGTGTCTGTACATTTAGATCTTTTAAATTACTAAGGATTTTAATGCAATTTTCAATAATAGATAGAGTTATTCGAGAAGAAAAGTTTATATGTATGTACACTCATATATATAATAGATAACAGCCACCCCTGCAGCTAGTATTTCAGGAATAAAAGTTAATGTGTAAATCGATGAATTGAGGTCAAGGTATAGTACGTACCTACGGATCTTATCATGACAAAGTATATTTTTATGGAGTTATAGAAGAGAGGAATAAACTGTGATAGAACTCAGAAAATATGACTGACGATGTTATATAAGTGGATTATACCTCAACGAGTGAGGTCGTTAACGGAAGAAATGATGCAGTGTCGTAGGAAAAGGTGATGTCAAGAAAAGTTATTTCATAAATTAATAGTTATTCAACTAGTACTAACTAATAGTAACTAAGAGTATTTCATTATTTATGGTGATCATAATCAACGAAATGAAAGTACTTTTCTGGCTAAATAATGTAATTTAGGTACTACTTCATTTTTTATGAGACTAACTACTTGTTCTTTGCGTAAATTGAAATTAAGTTATGAAGACTTATCAACTTTATGCTATAATTTCTTAAGTGATTAAACTTTTTACACTGCGACTAAATGTTTTAAATGAATTTTTGTGGAGTAGTACGTGTGCGTAATTTATTTCATTAATGAGCACTTATATGAGCACATACTATGGTATAAAGAGTGTTTATAACTAGCAGTACATACTAGATGACTATAACAGTACATGGTATCCTATCTATATATAAAAATGAATTGCTGTTCAATAGTCTCGCTAAAACTCGAGAACGACTGAACCAATTTGACTATTTTGGTTATGAAATATTCGTGGAAGCCCAGGAAGGTTTAAACGGTGATAAAATATAAAGAAATTGCATGTAAAATAGTAAAAACAACACTTTTATTTTCCCATATAAACTGTCTGGCTGATACCTGTCAAACAGGGTGCGTTCAGAAATTTATTGCGTTACTTAACTTCAAAAAACACCTATTCAATTTTGAGACGGAATGGTGTTCGCGGGGTCAGCTAGTATGTAATAATAAAAAAAACAAAAATCGAAATTAAAATCTATGCCAAATCACCTTACCTACCAGGTATTAACAAGCTAATATTCTTTTCTAATGAGGAATATAGAGTTTAGTTTTAGGAGTCATATATTAGCATGCGAAAAAGGGTTGATATAGCATTTGTAATATATATGGTCCTAATTTTTTCTAAAGGTGTATGTTAATTTGTAGCATTCTGATTGTATAGGATAGGATATCTGTAATAAACTTCGACCACTTTTTATATCATTCTAATAGATTAAAATTATGATTATTACGATATTATCTGTCGTTGCTACTTAAAACACGACCAATAACGGTGTTAGCAACTGACAATATATTAATTTAATTTATACTTATGATACTACTTATGATGTATATCAATATTTGTAAAATATTTTTACTTACTTTCCAATAGGATATATATATATATATATCCAATAGAATAGGATACTAAGAATACGGATGAGTAATGTAACTTATATTTTCAGCAAATAGTTGTTATATATCCCTCTGATGGTTAAGTATCCTGTCACTTGTCGTTATTATCATGTCTGTAAGTGACTGCATCTATTGATTACCTGTATATACTAGAGTTATTACAATCCATCCATCATCAATGACGTCGCCTATATATATATATATATATATATTAGTTTAATAATTCGTTCACAGTCTCTATCAATTACATAAAAAAATGGGTATATAAAACCACTGAATATTAGTTTTATTTCCAGCAAATGGGTTCAAGTAAGCTATGAATTCATTACTAGTATTTACATATAGAGATATCAGCTGAAAAACAGTGTTTTGCTCTCCGAGCACTCCATACTGAGCTAAGATCTTTTCATGTTGTTATATTACACAATGTACATATTCTACTTGAAAATATAGGTACATGTTAGTGGAAATATATGTTGTATTATTTTTATATATTATATATGCGTTCCATAAAATGTAGGTATATAAAACTTTGTTTATCACCAAGCATTAAAAATATGTAGATATTTATGTGTTTTCATTCATTAAATTTTTATCTTTGTTTTCCTATTAATAACAACAATCAGTCTTATTCATTGACTAAACGTACTGCGTTTATGTACGGTAATATAAGTTAATTATTGTGCAATCTATTTCTATAATCCCGAGCCACTTATTGTACATATACCAGGGATACGTAGGTACTATAAATTCCTATTATTGCATACTATTACTATAATTGTTATATACTACATATATGAAAAACTACGTTGAAAAATATTTGCTTTAATTAACCTTTTTAATTTTTCGTAGGCATTATATTTTACATTTATAAATATAATAAAAAATAATCCGAGATATATTATACAGCGCGACCAAGTCTCCAACTGAATACAGTTTACAATTAAAGTCTATTTAGTTGGGTACTCTAAATACCTGATAAAAATACTACGTATTTTTTTTGTAATCTATACATAACGCTAATTAGACATATATAGATAACAAAAAAATACGTCCAGACTAGACGAACAGCCGTAAAAGTAGAAGACATGAATACATTAAAAATAACTCTAATGGCAATTAAATTAATTTTATAGCTTACTTATATGACACTACTAGCTGACAACAGCTGTCTGCAACACACTTATCATTATATTATCGTCCAATTTACATAATATACTTTTAAATTATAGTCTATGTGTAGTTCTGTTGTATAAGCTATATTATTGTAAAGTTTTACCAAAATACGTTCAGTAGTTTTTGCGTGTAATCCATCTATACTCACAAACTTTCCTATTTATAATATATTAGTAAGACAATCAAAAGATATTCTGAAGGTCTCTTCTTCAGTCATTCACTCTTGGCAGAGTGGTCGTGTCTTTAAGAGAGTATATCTTGAGGTATAGTATTGTTGTGGTCTTCGGCGACAGAGTTCCTTGCAATTTGCCTCCACCTGGTATATAGTAGAATGGGCTGCTGTGTAGTCGTTTTTGTAATGCCCGTATAGTAGTATAAAAAAAAATGGTGCTCGACCCCAAGAAGCTCTGCCCTAAACTGAACCTTAGATAATTAGCCGCCATACAGTCTTCGTTCCGGCTAATGTGACCTGTGAATGTGAGAATTCGTATTCTCAAGTACTTTAGTCTGAATCTGAAAGCATTAATTGGCACTTAAATGATTAATATAATTACGACTAGTAGAAAATTGAGAGTAAACCAAATACTATCAAACTTCAAAACTACTTTTCAAATACAGATAAGCAGAGAATGTCTATTTCAAGAAATCTAGGATAGTGATGTGTTGACGATATGGCGCAATATTATACGTGCTCAGCCATGCGATCATCAAGGCAGTGTAGTTATAATTATATAAGTATTTTGTAAAAAAGAACAAAAATATGAAGATTATCTATCTAGTACAACTTTTGAAATAATATTGTTTTCCAATCTCATAATTAAGTTTTGATAATGAAAACAAAGAGAATCAAGAAAAACAACTATTTACCTTATTTAACAAATTTGCTAATATTACAAAGTATTTTTATGAGTAATTAGACTCATTGACTTACTTAGATAAATTAACTATATTTCTATTATTTTCATTGGATCAAGAGTGTGAATCTCGTACATTACATACATAGAAAATATACAGACTAATATATATATATATCTTATTCTTAAATATAAATGTTTCGAGGAATCGAACCCGCTACCATTGGAGGCGGCGTGGGTTAGCACGCGCCGCCTCTAATGGTAGCGGGTTCGATTCTTATAAGAAAATATATTCCGTAATATATTCCGTAATAACCGAATATTCTA